CACACACACACACACACACACACACACACACACACATTGCCTCTTTCCAATATGCGTTTCTGCAATTTGCATATAGGCAAAAACGCACAAAAATTTCCGTTGAACCGTTCTTCTCTGAAAATGACCAGACTGATCAGTGAGCAATTTTCTCTCCAAAAGTTTTAAGAGCCTGTACGCAAAAGTTGCGCATACCTATTTGAAACCTTTAAGTTGTACTTCGACAGAAAAAGTCTCTTTAAGGTTTGAATTTTTCAGCTTTCCCGGTTTGCGAGTTAGCGATTTTCCTGTCAAAACTTTCAGTTGCCTGCACATGGGTACCAAGCGCACCTGGGTGCTAAATTTGAAAGCTTCAAATTGTACTTGGACAGGAAACATGTCCTTAAAATTTCAGTCATCCAGCTTCTCTGGTTTCCCAATTAGCAATTCTCTCGCTGCGTGCCTTCGGGTGAGAGCAGCACACAAAGGGAACTAAATTTGAAATCTTTAATTTGTGAGTGGGCGATGAAATTCTCTTTAAAATTCCAGCCTTCGGGTTTTTTTTTTGTTCCCAAGCTAGCATTTCCTCCCCCCCCCCTCCGCCGAAAATCTCCACGTGCTCGTATGCGGACCTCAGACGTGTGTGAAAGTTAGAACCACGGTTCTGGGGTGCCACTTTGCCACTGGCAAAATCCAACGCCGAAGCTTGCTTAATTATCGAGTTGCACACACGCACACATGCGCACAAGGAAACATGCATACACATACGTACACCGTGGGTCATCACAACATGCACCATTAGGCGTTTTTGCTGTGCAGCGCTAAAGCAGCGTCATAGCGTTGCTATAGCCAGCAAAAACGCACATTTCTGAGAGGTTGTCTGTGTGTTTGTGTTGGTGTGTGTGAGTGTGAATGCGTGGGTGTGTGTCCGGAAGCGAGCGAACTTTGCCACCCACTATCACTTCAGCAACCAGAAAAGCTGGAGGGCTGAAATTTTGGGTATATGTGTGATCCTCTCGTTTTAAAGGTTTTGCTCATGCGCGCCTAAACCCCGCGTAAGGATCCTCAAAAAAAAATGCGAATTTCCTTTGGCGGGGAATAGTTTCGCGAACCAGGCAAGATACAAAGCTGAAAATTTACAAGGATATTTCTTGTGAATTTTGGAGCTAAGGATTTCGAATTCACCTGCCGCGTACGCTTGTGCAGCGTGTACAGTCATGTCAAAGTTTGCTACTGTGCCAACTCGAAAACTTGCCGGAAAACAGTAGCTGAAATTTTGTCAGCATGTTTATCGTCCATATGGGGAATCGTATACCTAAAAAAAGTACCGATTAGCACTTGCGCCACAACTTAAGGCACTTCAAAGATATCTGTAACCAAGTGGGTATTTTGCTTACCGGATAAAGTGTGAGGCTCAGAATTTGCTGGGATATTCTGCTTTCAAGTGCGGTATTGATTCTGCTTGGAACTGAAATTCCCTGCAGGTGGTTGCTGAAAAATTAGAAATGAGTGCGTTTTGCAGCAAACGACCGCCCTCATCCAAATATATAAATGAACATTCAGTTCATTTGGATACTTGAATTTTTTGACAAACTATCGCTCCAGCAACATTTCCACTTTTTAGTTAACTGGAAGTTTGCATTTTTTCAAATAGCGAGCATTTACCGAGAAAAAGGCCGAGCTTCGTGCAGAAAACTGGTAATCATGTGCTACAGCTCTATAGTGCACCACCTTCATCCTAACCGACACCCTTTCTCCTGCATGCTAGAAAGGGCCAAAACACGGCCAGGCTA